AGCCAGGGACACACTTTCTGTCCTGGGGTGGCCCCACTATATGGAGGAGCAATGGAACCATCCGTGGACAGCAACATTGTCACCCTGTGGGGAGGGCAGTTGGGAAGGACTAGCAGATTTAGATGCACTTGATGAAACAAATATAATCTGAACTCCATCTAACACATTTAAAGCCGTTCCAGCAACAATTTTTTGTTTCTGTTTTTGTATAAAGGTTTTGCATCAATGAATAAAAGCTGACCATTGTAAGCACCCCTCTCATTGGTAAATGGTTTGTTTCAACCCTCAGTCTGCCACTTTTAGTGGACAGCTTGGTCTGTTCAAGGAAGTTGACCAATAACAGACTTACCAGAAAAAAAATCCTAAATAAAGGAAACTAATGCAGACACCACATCTAAGAATTTGTAAGCTTTTGGGTTTAGATACGCTTTAAATATAACATTAAAAGAATTTTGTTATATCAGTTTGATAAGTGAAAAACAAAATACCAGAAATTAGGAACTGTCCTGTGTCTAAAGCACACTTTCTGTGTTGTCCCAAAAAGAGTAATTAGCACTCCAAGTTCATATCTTGGAGCTATTAAATAATTAGTCTTTATGCTGTGAGGATGGGGGGTGGATCTGAGTAGTTTGGCAAAAGAAAACGAGGCAGGGCTGACAGCACTCTGAAATAAAACGTGTGTGTTCCAAAACAAATTAATGCATCTCACTATTCACCCACTGTTGCCCAGTCTTGCCTAACCTTCACATATCTAGATCCTCAAGACACTATAGGTCTTGCTGAGTCTCAGGGAGATCATTATTGACTGATTCTCTAATTGACGCAATACAGACCCTTTAACACCTATGTTTGTGGTTACCAGCCAAGATTTTACACTCTTAATGAACATGTTATGTATTAGCCTTTGTAACCAAATCTCTCTGAAAGTTTGTAATTGTGTACTCATGATAAGGGTCTATGTTTGAGTAAAAACCAAAATATGTTAAAAAAAAATCTGTGTATTGTCACCAGCGTGGGAAATTAGGAGCAGATTGCATTTCTGGCAGGTGGACAGCTATATTTCTGTACTTTCAGGTGCTTTAAATCAGGGACGTGCGGTCAGGGGAGGCAGGTGAGGCAGAGCCTCACCTAGTATTATGGAGGAAAAAGCTGTCAGCTTCAAGTCTGAAGCTGACAGCTTTTTCTCCATTCAGAGCGGCTTCTTACAGGTTACATAGCAGGGAAAGCCTCCCAGCCTTGGAACCTGTCGTGGAGGGAGCGCTGCCATTTAATTACAGGCAGTGCTGCATCCGGCTTTTGACAGCTAAGTTAGGTTACACAGCAGCGGGCTTCCCCACTGCTTGTGTAACCTAACTTGGTGAGGAAAGAGCTGCCACAGCCTCTACTCTGTGTTAAGGTGCCCATACACCTTACGACCATCGCAAGACTTTTGTCTTGCGATGGTCGCAAGCTCATTGAAAGCTCGTACGATCTGCCCATCTTGGACGGGCAGATCGTACTTGCGATCATTGAAAGCCCGCTCCGCTGAGGGGCGGGCTTCCGATGACCGCAGTGAGGGGCGGGCTTTTCCGATCACTGCAAACGGGCCGTTCGGCAGTTGTCGAACAAGCAGGCCACTAACCCGCCGAGAAACGTACGATTCTCGGCGGGTTTTTTTCGACGGAAGACGCGCGACCGTACAGTAGAAACGGTTGCACGCCTTCCATACACTGTACGATTCTCGTACGATCGCGGGATTTCCCGCGATTCTCGTACGAGAATCGTACAGTGTATGGGCATCTTTAGAGGCGTGATCTCTGTGAATGGCGCTTTGCCATTGGTCCAAGCTGTCCAATAAAAAAAAAAAATGAAAAAAAACAGGGAGGACATCAACCTCGATGCCTAACCAGTGACGAGCAAGTGAGGGACAGGGAGGCTCCTCCCTGTCTCCTCCCTTCCTACTCCCCACACAGCATGGTTAGCAAGCTGTGGCGGGGCTTCGCTGGGGTTGGGCGGGGCTTTGGCGGCAGGGGAATGCCTCACCCAGCACAGAAGGCAAGTCACTGCTTTAAATGAATAAAACATGGGGAAATGTGCATGTATTGCAGAGATGTACTACAGTACATATATTTTTATCATTTATTTTAGGCATTGTATACATGGGCTTTATTTTTCTGCACTGTACTTGTGTTAGAAGTATAAATCACTTTAAATGCAATACTGCAGATTGATCATTCCTCGCTGTATTTGACCCACTTTGCGTTTCTTTGGACAAAGTTGGTCTTATTTAGATCCATTTTTGGTGCTTCAAAAGTTTCATTTCAGGCCCCCCGCTGGATTCAGAAGGTGAAACTCTGCTCAAACCCATGAAATGCATTTGGAACAAAACATAGCATTCACAACAAGGGCCATTAACACAAGCTCTAAGGAAAGTAGGATTCACCTACTCTTGGATGTGATACATTACATAATGTATCACATCCAAGTACTGCTTAGGAAAATACTCCTTCTCAATGCAGTGTAACGTTAGGCCCCTTTCACGGGCGGACCTGATCGGATGCCCAAAGCTAGCCTATGGGCAGCCTTGTGTAAACGGACGGGCGTCCGTTTACATCTGGTTGCCCCCAACTCTGGCCAGGTCCGGCAAAACAAATGGATCAGAGATCCATTTTGCCGGATCTGATCATGCCTGATCAGGGGTAATCTAATGTAAATGGACACATGTCTGTGTACATCCGATTTCCCATAGACCTTTCCTAATCAGTAAAAAAAAAATCAGTATTTAAATTTCAGGTTTTAGAAAAAGTGACCCTTGCAGTTGGGCTACCCCTGCATTGCAAGGGTTAAGTGCTCAGGAGCTGGAGGGACGCCAGCCAGAGCATCCTAGGTTAGGGTGACCATTTGTTCCCGATTTCCAGGGACAATCCCTGGATTGAGGAGACAGTCCCCGGGCAAATTATGTCCCCGGAAATGTCCCCAGGAACATAAAATAATTTTATTTTTTTTATACTCACCTGATCCCTGGATCCACCGACAAGCCTCGGCTGCCTAATCGAGCAGGAGGTGGAGGCAGAGAGCAGCAGGAGGGGGCGGGTGCGGATCCAGATATCCGTTGGGCGACGGAGGAAGCCGGTCCTGGAGCCCTAGTCAGGCACGGAGGAGGCTGAGTGCCCGCAGTGATGAAGGAGGCCAGGTCCAGCAGCGGGAGGCAGAGGCAGTTAAGAGGATCACCCTGCTGTTAAAGGGACCCTGCAGAGCCCAGCATAGATTCTGCACAGCCCACCTGAAAGTCTCAGGTGGACTCTGCGGGATCTGAGCTAGGCTCTGTGGGGTCTATGGTGAGCTGTGCAGGAGGGTCTCAGGGGGGGCTGTGCAGGATCTGAGGTGGGCTCTGCAGGGTCTCAGGGGGGTCTGTGCAGGATCTGTGGTGGGCGCTGCAGCCTGCAGAGCCCACCACAGGTTCTGCAGAGCCGACCATAAACCCCGCGGAGCCCACCACAAATCCTGCACAGCCCCCCTGAGACCCCAGCTTTCCTGCTATGCTAATAGCGGTACATGTCAAAAGCAGGATACAGAATGCGCGCTGTATCCAGCGACTGACAGGGTACGCAAAAAGTCAAAAACAGGAAGGGGTGGGGCAAATTTAGTGTGGGGTGTGCCTGAATCTCGTCTTGCCTAGGGCAGTCACAAAGCAAAATACACCACTGCCCGTCTCCCACCCTGTCAGAAGCTGCATACAGCGGGTGCCGGTTACTATTTAAACCGGCGCGTGCTGTAAGCAGCTTCTGTGAAGATGTGCTATTAGCGTAGCAGGGAAGCTGGCTGCGCATTTTGCGTAGCTCCTGCCACGCTAATAGCGCAGCCTGTCAGAAGCTAAAAAAATGTCCTTGGATTTCATTTTAAAAAATCCGGTCACCGTGTCCTAGGTTGCTAAGAGCAGCAATCTGGGGCACTCTGGATGGAAAGTGGGTGACAGGCACACTGCCACTCTATCTGCCCCCCCCACACACACATTGCCCAAAGAGATGCTGCCTGAGGCAACAGCCTTAGGCTGCCTGATTATAGGGGTGGCCCTGCACACCATGTTAATCTCAGGGCTTCACAAAAGGATGAACAGTTTGGAGAAGTGAACAATCTAGGCCAACATAGCGGGTTTGGAAAAATTCTCCAATTCAGCTCACTTTCCAGTTCAGCTATGTTGTCCTAGATTGTTCACTTCTCCTGTCTTCTCCAAACTCTTCACCCTTTTGTGAATGACCTTGTCTATCTTTATGAACTGATTTCTGTGATCCCAAATAATCTGATACATCTGGATACAGTTTATTTTATTTATTTATTTCAGGTATTTATATAGCACCAACAACTGTACACAACGCGTTACATGTGTACATTCACATCAGTCCCTGCCCCAAAGGAGCTTCCAATCCAAGGTCCCTATCTCACATGCATACATACAGGGCCGATTAAGCTTCCAGCATGTCCGGAGCACCCGGAGGAAACCCACACAAGCACAGGGAGAACATGCAAACTCCATGCAGATAGTGTCCTGACCGGGATTTGAACCGGGGAGCCCCAGTGCTAACCACTACGACACTGGAGAATATATGAAAGCTAGAGCAGACAGAACCTGGAGCAGTTGCCCATAGTAACCAATCAGCTTCTCTCTCTTCATTTTATTAAGTCACGTTTGTGAAAATGAAAGAGAGAAGCTGACTGGTTACCATTGGTAACTGTTGCAGTTTTAGGACGCCACAACAGTGTGAATGTGCCACACGGCATTTAGCAGCGACGGATAATGATTTAGTAAGTGAATGGTGCGTGGCATGCTGAGTGGCGTCGTTTGTGTCGGTTTAGAAAGTTGTCAGAGGTTGTGTGATGAGTGTGTTGCACATTGAGAGGAGGGGCGGGGCTTGCAGTCACAGCCCAGCAGCGAGGTCAGCCCAGAGCACACTCACACACACGGTGACGGCTCGTCTTCGGCTCTCTCCTTCACTCGCCGTGTGTGTGTAGACTGCGGGTGATGTTTTATGGCTGCTCTCGTCACCCAATCAATGAGCTCGCCCTGGGAAAGCCGGAGGATTCGTTACCTGTTTGAGCTGTGATCCTGCCAGACGCCGTGCCAACATCTCCTTCTTCTTCCTCGCACGTTTCCTCGTCTTTTCCTCGGGCCCCTCCTCTCCAGTCTTGTCTGTGTGCTGTGCAGTGTGTGAGAGAGAGAAGAGAGTATGGCTGCAGACGGAGCCAGGTCCAGGTTTGGCAATCTGGGCCATCGTGCCGGAGGAAGCAACAGCAGCAGCCCATCTTCCAGTCCCAAGCTTGGCGGGGGCAAGAGCCGAACTCCCCCGCAGTCCCAGAGTCCTTCTTCACCTGGCAGCAAGCACCAGCAGCTGAGACAAGCCCCTGCCTCTCCAGGACATGCCTTCAGGAAAGTGACCCTCACCAAGCCCACCTTCTGTCACCACTGCACGGATTTCATCTGGGGACTGGGCGGCTTCCTGTGTGAGGGTAAGTCTGTCTTATGGTGGCACCTACTCACCTTGTCACATCTGCCACAACTCATCACCTTATCCTAGTAGATATAGATCAAATGGCATGGCTTTCCTAGTACAAATCACACCTGTGCATTGTGCTAACGCACGTTTAGCTTCGCTTTCCTGGATTTGCGCGGCAACACGTCTACCATGGTGTTTGCGCTGCTTTTCATTTTAAATAGCACCCTGATGCACTAACACAATGAGGGGAATTGATCAAAAATGGAGCTGACAGAAACTGGCGCAGTTGCCCATTGCAACCAATCGGCTTCTATCGTTTTCAAAGCTTAACTGAAGAGAGAAGCTAAATGGGTTGTCATGGACAACTGGTCCAGGCTCTAGCTGAACTCTGTCACACGTGTTGTGACAGACCATGTAGCTATCTCATCCCTCACCTGACCTATGTACCCCTTATTTAACGACCACTAAGGGTACTCTGTGGATGGCGACGCATACCAAGTCACCAGCACACCAAGGATCTTTATCCAATTACCCTTTATTGACATTCATTTTAAAGCTGGCCATACGCTATGCGAATTTTGTCTGGTTCTTGATGAACACCAAGGATCCTTCTCTGATGACCCCTTTGTTGACAATCCTTCTAAAGCTGGCCATACGCTATGCAAATTTTGTCCGGTTCTTGATGCACACCAAGGATCCTTATCCGATGACCTCTTTATTGACGTTCATTCTAAAGCTGGCCATACGCTATGCAAATTTTGGCCGGTTCTTGATGAACACCAAGACCAGCACACCAAGGATCCTTATCTGATGACCTCTTTATTGACGTTCATTCTAAAGCTGGCCATACTATGCAAATTTTGTCCGGTTCTTGATGAACACCAAGGATCCTTATCTGATGACCTCTTTATTGACGTTCATTCTAAAGCTGGCCATACACTATGCAGATTTTGGCCGGTTCTTGATGAACACCAAGACCAGCACACCAAGGATCCTTATCTGATGACCTCTTTATTGACGTTCATTCTAAAGCTGGCCATACACTATGCAAATTGTGGCCAGTTCTTGATGAACCTGCCTCAATTTGTACAGTGGGTGCCGCTGTTGGCAGCATTTTGGTTGGCATCCCTTGATCAGCTGATGGAAGGAGCTGGTTGGAAAATCTTTGAACAAACAGAGCCGGCAGCCAATCAGCTGCCGACTCTGTTCAGGTATTCTGACAGAGGCCGGCAAAATACAATGGGTGGAATTTATCAAAACTGAAGTAGACAGAATCTGAAGCAGTTGTCCATGGCAACCAATCAGCATCTCTCCAGTTTGCTCAAGGAAGATTTGAAATTGAGACAGAGAAGCTGATTGGTTGCAGTGCAAATCTGCTCCAGATTTTGTCTGCTCCAGTTTTGATAAATTCCCCTCAGTGAATACAACCTGAGATTCCTCCATCAATGCTTACGAGCGAATCTGTTGTATTTTCTTCGTTCAGCCCAAGGGTTGAACTAAGAAAATGTTAGTGTATGGGCAGCATTCATGCCTGACAAAGCAATACTTTGAGACCTCATAGGGTTCCTTCATCAGGCTTAATCTGTAATGTGATGCCTGATGAAGGGACCCTGTGTTGTCTTGAAATGTCGCTTTGTCTGACATTATAAATGAACGTCAATAAAGGTGTCACTGGATGAAGATCCTTGGTGTGCTGGTGACAGATTTAATTCTCATGACAGATCATGGTGCTCAAGTGAGAATGATCTCTGCGTTGTGGTAAGAAAAGCATCTTTGGTGCATTGTGGCCCCATTCAAAATGAATGAGCTTCTTAATGCATATAAAACAGGCCCTCTAAACGATGAGAGGAATTGATCAAAACTGGAACAAAAAAAAACATCTGAACAGTTGTCCATAGCAACCAATCAGCTTCTATATCTCATTTTCATATCTTAACTGAGCAAACTGAAGATAGAAGCTGATTGGTTACTATGGGCAACTGCTTGATATTCTGTCTGCTCCTGTTTTGATCAATTCCCGCCACTGGCCCTTAGAACTGCAGCCAAATGCAAAACAGAAAAGCTTCCCTTCAGGGCTTGTCACATTGTGTCTTCTGAGCTGCGTTTTTCTGCATGCCAGTGCACTTGTATGGTCTGAGCAGGGCGCCTAGAATATAATTGTGTAGGCATGTAGAAAAATGCAGCTCAATGGATGCAGTGTGAACAAGCCCTTACATTACTGAGAGCCCTTTTCTACATTACATAAATACCTGCTGATCCTGTCAGTCTAAAGGTCGATTTTCGGCTGATTTTTAATTTACCGGCCAAAATTTGCACAGTGTGTGGGGCTGTCTGCGGCGCCCTTTCAGCCGGCATTCCTTGATCAGCTGATGGAAGTAGCCGGCTGGAAAATCTTCATATGATCAGAGCTGGTAGCTAATGAGCTGCATGCTCTGATCGGGTGACAGGTGCCGGCGGCACCTGTCAGAATGCAATGCAAACAGCGGCGATTCCTCGATCGACACTGTTTGTGTTGATGGAGGAATCGGGTCAATTTTTTTTTTTTTCGTTCAGCCTGCGAGTTGAACGAAAACAATTGATACACCTATCAATTGATACACCTGGCCAGCCTAAGAGACCTCCATCCCGCAGGGTGACAACACTGTTTTGTCGTTGGTGAATTCACCATAGTGTTGTCCCTCCTGCGGTGGTGTTACGCACACTCAGGAGGAGGATTATGAGTGTAATTATGTCTCCCTGCCAGTCAGTGCAGGACCAGTATCTAATGGGGCACCTTGTTCACCCAATCTCCATTGAGCTGTGTTTTTTTTTTTCTGCACACCTCCGCACAGGGTATGGTATGAACAGGGCACGTAGATAACAATTGTGTGGTCATGTTCAGAAAAACGCAGCTCAACGGAAAGAGTGAACAAGCGAATGATGCAGGGCATCCTCTTGGATCCTGGTAAATTGATGGCCTTTGGAAGGGGAGGGGCTGTGATGTCATAGGGGAAAAGAGAAGGATTGCTTCACTAGCAGGAAAAATAAACAAAAATTGGAGGGCATTTACATGAACCCATTACCACCTAATGCATGTTTACATGCATTGTGCATCTTTATGCGCCTTGGCATGCGTTTTAATGCCATCTGTTGTCGAGAATATTTCAGCCCTATTTCCCAGAAGGGTCAATTTTTTTCCCCAGTAGCTGTGCGTTGCACCTACATTTGTTCACATGCGTTTAATTACAACGCATACATGCTGCCTTTTAAAACACGTCTCCAAAGGCACTACGCAGACCGTTGTTTTCTCTGTGCCCTTGCAGTGACCTGCATTGATTCGGTGCAGAAAAACGTAGCTCACCGGTGTGATCGAGCCGTAAACGGTGCAAGATAATGGGGATAAGCAGAGGTGATTGTATAGGATGAGGGAGTGATCGGGAAAGCATTTCAATGGTCCGTTGTCTTCCTGGTGAAGGACTGTGGGTGACGAGAAAAAAGGGCATCTTGGCACACACAAGCAGAGCATCTCAGGATACCTCTTCATCCTGTCAATGCTGTTGTACAAGCAACAAGTACAAATGTGGGTCAGTGCTAACCAGCATAAAGGCTTTTACATGCTAATTTCCACTCTCAGCCCAATGCCGTATTGCTCTTTGCATGCGAGGCAGCCTTTTTTTTTCCTCAGTAAATGATGTAGCAATCTATTTTCTGTCATGAAAAAAACCCAACGCACATCTATAATACAGAATCCTTAATGGGTCTTCATATTCTATCCACCTTCACAGTGTACGGCTGGGATATGTTTTTTCTTCTTCTCCTGAGTGATCTAGGCTATGTGGACGAAATGTGTGATCTAATCTATTAAACACCTGTTTCCTCTGTCTAGCCGGCGATTGGAATCTTTGCAGATTCATAGCTGTCATGTCACTGTTCGTGGGGCTGCAGCTTGTAACAATATATCTCTACAGGTCATTTTCGCTACCGCTTGTGTTTTGTTTTGCAAGAAGCCATAGCAGTAAAACAGTGTAGTAAAACATATGTTGTTCCGTGTACAGAGGTGATCAGATTCCTCTTATCTGGTGAAGTATTCCTCTGTTGACTGATTCAACACAATTAACACTTTGCGTGTGGCGTTATCACTAGATGATGGTTTTATGTTGGGTGCATAGAGGTGAACCTCTTTGCTGCTAAGGAGTATTTCTGTTTGTTACGGATCGTGCCGTTTTCCTTTTAAGATGTATGATTTGCCAGTGTTTTGTCCTCGGCAGCTACATTCAAGCTACCATTTTTCTAGCATGGGAAATAAAATGACCTACTGTTGCTCTAACCCTTTTGCTGCGTGTTTTGTACACATGCTAAAATGCATGCTTTAGCCCTTTCGCTGCCAAAGCGTTTTTTTGCACACATGTTAAAATCCAAATTTTAAACCTGAAAATTACTTAAAACCCCCAAAACATTATATATTGTGTATTCTGAAAGCACAGACCCTGTGGAATAAAATGTTGGCAGTTGCAAATTTGTACGTGACACGATATTAGCACAATGCTTAAACCCAAAATTGTAATAAAAAATACACTTAGTGACATTAAAGTCACATTTTTTTACATCCATGTACTGCTAGCAAGCAGTAAAAACATACATTTTTTTAAAAAAAGTTACCCAATAAGTAAAAAGGTACATTTGTCATCCGCCGGCTGTAAAATCCAGCTTCTCAAATGGCCGTACAGGAGGATGTGTGCGAGCGCATGCGCAGTGGAGATCATCGGCGGGGAGAAGAGGAGACACTCACTGTAAGCGAATGCACGCAGCCGTGAGTGTGCATGCCGGACAGACACCGTGGGAAAGGAAGAGGCAGCAGTCTGCACGGAATCGGAGACAGGCGCCAACGCTGGAGGGATTGCTGAATACAAGTGGAAGGAAGAAGTTGATCAGATCAAATGGTATCATTTAAGGTAAGTCCTTAAAGCAAAATTGCGGGGGTATGTGACTTTAATGTCACTTTTAGTTAATTTTAGTGCCCAAAAACACAATATA